AATAACAAAACTGAGGAAGTATATAACAAGACAGCCTTAACTATCACCACTGGAAGTGGTAGCCTCAGGCGAGGGAGTGCGCCTTCTCCCAACAGTGCATTTTCCAAGTTTATTAGTTTTCTTATTTCATAGCCAGATACATGCGATGTGTTTGACTCAGTAGGCTGAGTAGTTATTGTAGGTCCACCCAGTCAACAAGGTGTCTCACGAAATTTAACAACGTTCAGAGGATTTACATCTCTATATGTGAAAGTATGAAAAATTTTCTAAAAGATTTCGTACTAAGTGGGGGCGAGATGGCCCAAGTGGTTAGAGCGCGAATTTACTGATGGAAGGTCCGTGGTTCGAATCCGACCTCCGCCACTCGACTTCCCCTGTCTAGGCTTGGGCAACCTGACAGTATCCCAGCCCTCGTGCTTCCTTTGGGTGGCATGGCAGCTAGGCACCGGAAGGGTGTTACAGCTGAACGCTTTCTTTCTTTTCTATCTACTAAGTGGTGACTATTGGAGGGCCTGGACACTACCATGGCACCCAAACCTTGACAGGATGACGAAAAAGGTCCCCAACAAGATCCTCCCTCACGAACAGAATGGACCCCCACAATAATGCAACGGTTTGTGTGTCTTCCTGACCCATTGATCCATAATGGGAATGTGTGCATGATACTCGCAAACTCTCATATCAGGCTGGACAATGATTAAGGGTCCGATCACGCTTCTGAATGAAACGCATTGGTGGAGGATTCCAACCGTCCTCTTGTTTAGGTTTTGGGGCTCTGGTAACATACCAGCCCGCATACAGACACGACTAAGTTTAGGTCAGTTAGTTTCAGTTAAAACCACAAACCGTGCACCGAAAAATAGTAGTTCCAGCTGATGTAGCCTCGTTCACCGATGATAGGAATATGGAAAACAGAGCTAGTGTTGGATGCGATGGCTCAATCAATGATCTCGAATGGTTCTGCGAGTTCGGTATGGCAGGGATTGAGATCTATACAGTGAGGTGCAAGACCGACATTGGACGCATGACAGACATATCTGTCAGGGTCAATAACCATTGGCTTGCCTCGTCAGCGGTCCCCGTCCGGGAAGAGAGGATTCACCAACGCGACTAAGATGACTGGTAACAGCTTTCATGCCAAGATTGATACAGTTAAAGTCGTCATCACTGACAGCAACAGATGAGGGCACTAGTGCTTAACTGCCGTACGACCTTGTTAGTGCCTTCCATCGAGGAACGACGGATTAGAAAAGGTCGGCCCCAAAAACCGCACACTACGATCGCTAAACGGTTGACCGTGACAGCCGGTGCACTATTCATTACGGCTGATACAGTTTAAAACCAGAATCTGTTGCTATTCAAAAGGCACTTCCCTGCGTCCGCGGGTAAGGCCAAACTCCGGCAGCCCATCAGGACAGACTGTCATCGGCTATGGGAAGGGTCCCCAAATAAGAGCCCATTGACCCCTGCATCAGGGTTCAGATTTTTTAGTCAGAGGTTGGGGGCAGGGTCTCCGAACAAAACCATACAACGTCCTACTGCCCTGTGGGTCGAACTTTTGAGTCAAAGGCTCAAGGTAGGGCACATCAACCACACCTCCTTCCTCGGTCTGGGCAACGTATCATTTGCCCGCACAGTTCTTTGTCCATCAGTGTCCCTCCCCAACCTCCTCCGACCACAAAACGAAACGTTGCTGGGTCATTTGATTCCAGTTATCCGATCGATGGGCTTTATGAGCCACGCAACCTATTTACAGTAAACAAAACGACGCCTTACTCAATCTACGAGATCCTTTCTACACAGCAATTATTAAAGTTCTTACTTTATGTCAAGTTGGCAAAAAATAATGCTCGCTGAAAATTTATATTCCCTTAAGATTGATGTATTGTCTTCGAAACACGCATACAAGACCCAAGCATAGTTATGCATCTCGGAATGCTAAGGACGAACCTATCACTTCCAAATTTCTACCCTCATATGTCCGAGGATTCAGAGGCGATGACTCGTGGATTGTAGGGCATGGAAGCTGCACTCGGTCCCAGAGCTGAACGCGCTTTGCTGGGCTGGATCCAAGTGAATAATCGTCTTTGTGCCTTGTATTTATCTAGCTCAATGCCTCTTAGCGTAAGAAAAGGCGTCTGTTCATAGTGTCAGCATATGCCCCAACGGACTGCAGTTGTGACGCTGAGGATATTTTCTATTCGAACTATCCGGGGTTATTCGTTGAGCAGCAAGCACTGATATGGTGATCCTTGAGGGTGATATAAACGTCCAAAGCGATCGTTTGACCTCCTTGGAATTACATCTGGGTGGTCACTTCGGAGTTGTCGTTCGTCGCAAAAAAAAAGAGAACGACTCCTCCAGTTATGTGCCCATCATCAACTGTTTTTGGCCAGTACGAACTTTCAGCATAACCTTCATACCACGTAAACTGGTGGTCACCAACTGCGAATCAACCGTGGATCTATTTGGATCACCTGGCCATCCACCACCGGTAGGGAGCCACAATGCAAGACTGCCGTAACTTCTGGGGCACAAAACTTGATTCTGATCACGCCATGGTGCCAGCACGCCTGAAACTTCATTCCCCTTTAGGCCCTCGCAAGCAAGAAACATGACAATCCAACATCTTCGGAGAACTAACATAGCCCAACAGCATCGACTGAGCTAGCCCAATATGAGCCAGCCCGACCACTCTATACAGTAAATCAACACTGTCCTGGTAGCGTGAACGTGGATGAGGCATGGCAAAATGTGAAGGGAAGCAGGAAAAGGGAAAATAAAAAATGACAAAATCGAACGGTAGCGGGAGGAGTTATCGGCTTTTTCTTTTGACGCAACCTACAGACCAGGTATAGAAAACAAAGCTGCTGACACTCTCTCACAGTGTCTGTGCGAACCACTCATCTCAGCTGGATCTAAAACGCTTACACGCAACTCTATGTCATCCTGGAGCAACACGTTTGATGCATTTCGTTCGTGTCAAGAATCTCCCTTCTCCCCAGAGGGCATCTGACCTGTTACTGAGCGGTGCCATATGTGTGTGGAATTAAAAACACGTTTCTTCAGGCCATTTGGTGGTACATTCATTTAAGCCACACGAACGTTTGAAAGTTTAAGCAATGACTTCAAGGGACCGCTGCCTTCGACGACTCGAAACAAATATCTACTGACGGTCGTAGAGGAATATTCCCGTTTTCCGTTCGCCTAAGCTTGTTCAGATAAAAGTTCGTCTACGGTAATATCATGCCTTGGGTCGCTTTTCGCTACACTTGGCCTGCCCAGTTTCGTGCATTCGGATCGCGGTTCATTATTCAGTTCGGATGAGCTCAAGCAGTTTCTTCATGAAAAGCGCGTTGCCTCCAATCGGACCACTTCATATAACCCAAGGGNTCATCATTCATTCCGGTTGAGATTAAGCGATTTCCTCATGAAAAGGCGTTGCCACCAGTTGGACCACTCCATATGACCCAAGGAGGAACGGTCAGGCGGAACTTTGTGGAAAGCCATTAGGCTTTCATTACAATCAAAAGGTCTTCAAATCAGCCAGCGGTTTACAGGACGCCATCAATGCCACTCCAAACGAGCGATTGTTTCATCACAATCGAAAATCCGAAGTTGGTACATCGTTGCCGCAGTGGTTGCTTCCGCCAGGACCAGTCCTGATGCGGCGAGATACACTATCTTCGAAGAGTTTGAGCTCCTGAAGTGTAACACTGAGTACGCATTTGTCAGACACCTTAAGGGGACGGAAGAAACGGTCTCCCTACGCCACCTTGCGCCTTCC